AAGATTCCAGTCTGCAGAATGATGGTAATTTTGGAAATTGCAAAACAATTTCAGAAATTACTAGGCAATTTCAGTAAATGCGCACCCTACCATATATTTTTTATATAGATATCAATGCAGCTTCATATGAAAAAAACCTTACTTTTTAAAGTGTTAGTAATTTGAAAAATGATTAGAAAATTGCAGTTAATGCAAAAATTACTATATTTATTCTGCATAGGTATCACTGTATTTTATTATCAATACAAGACCTTATCCTGCAAAATTATGGTACTATTAGAAATTCCAAAGTAATTTCAGAAAGTACGAGAAAATTTTAGTAAATACAAGTATTATGAATTATTTATTCTCTTTATATGTCAATGTACTTTATTATTGAAAAGAAGACATTATATTTTAAAGCATTGGTGACTTCCGATATCATAAAGAGTAGGATCCTGTTTTTAAGATCAAAATACAATGATACCTACGCTGAATAAATATATTCAAGTCTGTATTTACGGAAATCTTGATATTTTTCGAAGTTTCTGAGGTATTATTAAAACTATTAATATTTTAATGGGAGAATATTGCTTTTCGTACGAAAACATATCGATATTTATTGAGAATATGTATATGGTAATTTCTGTCTCTACTGAAGTCTGTTAATAGTTTCATAGAAATTACTAAAACTTAGTCGATGTTTGGCATCAACATTTTTTATCACACATTGTTCTCAGAAATTTCTGGATAGCATTCTCTTCTGGATGTTTAGTCTTTCTGAAAATAGTTAGGCTTTTTTTACGGATTACTTATTATCGATATTATTTGGAAGTTAGCCAGTGGTAAATCAGGAACTTTGAAATTTCTTAAAGGGTGTGAGTTTCATTCTCCTCTTCTTCCACACCCACCCTCCAGGAAAAATATTGACGAATATGACATCACATAGAGCAAATTCCCTTGATACACCTGTAATATCGAGTTTCACTAGTAGTTAGTAGATTTAAATCAGAAAAAGCACGATATGTGTGAAACTTATATGATATTCTATATCAGCATTCACAACCGGGTTGACCTGTGTGAGTTTCAAGTGTTTTTAAGAACTTTTTTCCGCTGAAAAAGTGAGTCGAAAAAAAACTTTCTTCAAAAAATTATTTCGACAGTAGTAAAATGAGTTTTGAGATTGCAAAATGATAGTATAACTCAGAACCGTAGATGATCAAACAATAAAACCTGCATTTTGATAGAATCGATTTTTTCACTCATCTCTGAAGGGACTCAGAGATGATTTCTTCGACCAAAACAATGTTCTTAAAAATATTTGAAACTCACATAGATCTACTCAGTTTAGAACGCTAATTTAGAATGTCATATTAGTTGCACAGAAGTGACACTTTTTCTGATCGAAATCTATTAACTATCAGTGAAAAATGGCTTAAATTCCCCATCGAAAGTCATTTTTGGACACCTTGTATGAGAGATTGACATGAGAGAAACCAAATTTCTCAAGGGAGTCGATTTCATCAGTTATCGGTCCCATTTCTTTCTTAGAAATATACTTCTGCTGTTTTGATAACTTCGAAGAATTTCCTGGAGACTTGGGTATTTTTTTGAAATAGACGGTTTTGATTACTTTAACAGAAATTATAGTAACCCCTGAGATTTCTAGCTAGTATGATTTTTCTGTCGGAGAAGTTTCTAAAATTTGATTCTTGATCAGAGAACTTCAGTTTATTTTTAAATCTGAACACTACTGCACCATTCCGTAGGGTTCAATCATTAGCAAAAATCAGTTTCTTCACTAACGTTATTACTTGGTTAGAAGGTTAACTAACCCCCTTCCAATAGATAACGATGATGAGTAGCATCCCTATGATACTTTGTAATAGAATGGATTTTGCTAGCAAACACACGTGCGTCAGTCGTTGCCAAATCGAAGCGATAGTTCGCGACACCAATCTTGTTTCAAGAAAAGCAAGCTAATTATATTAAAGCTTATTGATTAAGGTTAGAATCATTGCGTTCGTCTCTTAGCTTATGATCGGTAAGTGAAACTGTAAATTTATATTGTAATATATACATTTAAGAATTAATAGATTTTCTTCGCTACGGAAAACGAAGCCAACAAGTTTTAATAGTGATAAGATGAGTCTAATTAGCAGGGAGAACAGAGATTTTTCTCTAAAATTCTTACACAGTTAGATAAAACTTATCGAGTTGTGTATGTGCACAAACATAGAAAGAAACTAATTGTTTTCATTATGAAGAAAATTAGATCAATCTTCAATAAGCGCTGCTTTTTCTAATCCATTTTGCTTATTGAAGAAATGCCAAAACGCTTTCATTATTAGATGCATTAGGCAAAGCTGATATAAGAATATCAACTCGACAATCCTCATCCATATCATGTCAAGGACGTTGCAGAATCTGAAGTAAATATTATGAAACATTAAATACGTAATGCAGGTAGCAACACTTTCAGGTCTCTCTAATTTTCTTATTTATTCAAGATTTTTTCGCCATTCTACTCGTCATGAGATCAGAAAAAAAAGCAAAATATTATTTTTGAAAAAAGCTAAGAAAAATTATACTTAGGATCGTTTGTAATCTCATGTATGTGTTATGTCGAAGTTATTTTGCGTAAAGTAAAAAGTGAAAAACCAATTGATTGGCAATGATGATATAAAAATAAATGGCCCACATGCAAGTTACAACGAACAATATATTTTTTATTTCATAATCAGAAGGTTTATTTTAATGGTCGTACACAGAAGAAATGATTTCGCAGAAAATAAACCTTTATCTGTTTCAAAGCTTATGATCTATAAGGTATTTACATTCGTTGACGTCTTCATTAGCAGCAAAAGCAAGATATTTTTTATGTAGTATTTTCTATATTGAGAAAATCGTAGATCTATTGGAAAATAAAAGTTGCTTAATCAAATGTGACTGTTGGATTATTTCATGAATAGATACTTTAAAATAAACAAAATATCACAAACATGTTTTTTGTATTTTTAAAAAGAACACAGATAAATTAAACACTGGAAGTTTTAAATTAAAATACAAACCATCACGTTGTTCTTTTCTAAATGTTAACAGACTGTGTAATCAGTTGAAAAAATCTGTTTCAACTGACACTGATAGACGTCATCACTTCATGTACTTGAAAATCAACAGTGTCAACAATTACTTAGTTAATTGTCAAATTGATCACTAGTAGAACTGACTAAAAAGCGTAAAAAGTTTTCATGCAAATGCATTTCTAATTTTTGCGGTTCTTATTTTCATGTTATTTTAGAATAAAAGATATATTGTTCGGTTGCAAAATTGATTTCGATCATCTATTTTCATCGTATAATCATCAATCAAATAATTCTTCACTTTTCAGTTCATACAAAATAATTTCGGCACGATATATAAATGAGAATGTCTTTCGAAATTTTTCTTATCAAAACATTACTTTTGTACAACTAGTTGAGGATCTAGAGATGGGCGTAAGTGTGCATCTGAGTCTTCTGTTCACATCCGCAAATAGCTCTTTATATTATGCAGTTTGTTCACAAGGTCAAATTTGCCTATGAAATAGTTTTTGATACAATATATAGCATCCCGCGAAGGTTTTGAAGTTGATCCCGGATATGATATTTTTTTTGCATAAAAATAATGTTTTAGTAGAAGAAAGCTCGAAATACGTTCATGATTTTATAGGTAGGAAACTACAATTGTCCAAAACATAACCTTTCTAAGTTCTTTTTAAAAATAATATTTAACTATTTCGTAGATTCATAACTAGTAGAATAAAATAGTTAATGTTTTATAAGATTTACTTCAGATTCTGCAACGTCCTTAACATGATATATATAAGCATTACCGAGTTCATATCCTTATATCAGCTTTACATAATACATAGAATGAAAGCATTTTGGTATTTCTTTCATAAACAAAATGAATTAGAAAAAAAACTATGTTTATTGAAGATTGAACTGATCTTCTTTATAATGAATATTAGTAGATTCTTCCCATTTTTTTGTCTAAACGTGAGTTTAAAATATTTCAAATAATTACGTGTCCACCTATGTAGTTTGATAATTTTTATCTAACCATATGCAAATTACAGAGAAAAACAAATTTGCTCAATTTTTTAAATCAAACGTACTTTTATTATCAGTAGTCGGCTATGATATTCGTTTACATCGAATTATTATATCTTTGGAGTTAGAAGATTTCAATAGAAAGAACACAAGAGAATGAATTAATAAATATGCTTTGAAAGAAATCATATGCGACTTAAGTAGATATGTTCTAAGACTTAAAAATAATGCCGAACAATTTGTCTTGAGAATTATAATGCCAATATTGATTATTGTGACGATAGAAGGATCTAAAACAGAAGTCTTTTTAGATAAATGTGTTTTCCTATTTGAAAAAGCGCTATCGCCTTTGTGTCACTTAATTGAGATAGTTATCTGTGATAACGAAACGGGTGAACAAAAACAAACAATATACTATTTAAAGACTTATATCCCATTCGATAAAGTTTTCATTTAAAATATGTTAACTAAATCAAGAAGATGAAAGTCTATTTTTGAAGGCTTCACGGTATTTCTTGCAATTCCTCGAACTTTTACTCATCAATCTTCTAGCTAAATGATTAATATTTTTTTCTTCAATTATTTCTAGAATTTAATAATCAATATATATAACTTTACAGTCTAATAATCGAATCATCACGATCATTACCAATAGTTTTGAGCAATTTAACAAAGTTAACAATGTGTTTCAATTGTTGTCACTATCTCTTACGTAAGCCAATCAATTTATTCTATGATCCACATAGATATCGAGTATTCTTGGTTCTCTATATATTCGATCTGATATTTTTTATTATTCGATTGGCTCTTGTTAGTAATGATCTTTCCGGAAATGTTTCTGAAACAAAAGGTTATCTCGTATCTATTTTAATATTTGACTTAATTGCATCAGTACCATTAATCGTTTGCAATATAATTTATATTATAATGAATCATTGTATTGTGAGCCTACTTGGTCAACAAACTGAAAATCAACGTTATTGGCGTTTGGGAACAATGACATGTATTCGATTTGACTTTTACCTGGAACATCCTCAACTAATATTACTTACGCGTATATTTCTCATTATAAGCCTTTTCCTTCTACGTTTTATGTGTTTTGTTATTGGTGCTTCATGTTCATCTGGTTTTAAACCACAGTGTACAGCCTATACGGTTATTGCTGCTTTTGCTCTGTGTAATTTTCTTCTTATTACTATTGTCGAATTTATCCACTTTTTTCGTTTATGGACTTATAATCCGACAGAAACAAAAAATACAACTGAAAGACACAGGTACGCTACTGTATCCTCTTCTAAAACAATAGAAAAACCACATCGATGTCATCTTCGTTTTATTCATCATTCAATGGTCAATGATCAAAATGCATCTGGATATCGACAATCACTTTGTTCGAAAGGGGCTGAATGTCAATCAGAAAGTCTTCATCATCAATTAATCTATCATTCACTTAAATCAGCACGTCAAGTTTCAAATATATTTAATAATAGCGATGTACAGAAAACTATTATTGCATTTTATGAAACAACAATAGAAAATATGTTTAAAATTGTTGAAAATGGCCTTCCGTGTGGAAATAATTTACAACTTCAACAAGGCATCTATTTTACGACATCGATTACGTCAAATTTAGAGCCTGAGAAAGGTATTCTATGTGCTCGCATTAATTTGGGTCGATTAAAAATGATCAAAGAAGCTCCTGTAAATTTAAATCAATATTTTCAAGGTGCTGGTGGCTTACATGACACAGTCTATATTGAAAATCTTGCGAGATTTTATCTTCGAATGCCAGGACAAATCGAAAAATGGATCGTCATGATTTCTAGCGGTACTAAAGTAAATGATGAACTCGATAGTAATTATTATGTAGGCTGCTTTTCTTAGATATTTTCTTTTATTCTACAAAAATTTAAGTACAAATACTTTCTATGATTATTCATGACCGACAATGAGTTCTTTTGGATTGATTTACAGACATTATTGTATATTAATAAGTTTAACTGTTAACATTATTTTTTTTAAATTGAATGAATTTTTTTTCCTAGAAGCAAAATATCTTTTCTTAAATTATTTATTTACTCAATAATCAGTTATTTGTATGTTTCTATAGAATGAATAAAAATCGTATTTTTTTTATGGAAGGTAAGATAATTATGCTATATCCTATTCTAAAAAAGAGACATAACTAAGTTCATGATATTCCAAAACAAATACGACACCCAAAAACTTCACCTGTGGTGTAATAAACGCAGAAAACGTGAAAAGCCTGTAGAAAACGAAGCAAACTAGATAACAAATGAAATTTACGAAAACAGGGTAATGATGTGACATTCTTAAACAGATAAACGATGTGTTTACATCTCCATTTTATGATTCTGAAGAACGTAAATAGTGCTAGTCAATGAATTACACTTTCGCGGCAGCTTCAGGTCTCATTACACCCTCATTCTCTCTGTAAAGATGCTTTTTTCTTGTTCATGCTCGTGACTGAAGAGTCTCTCTAGCAATGTTCTTGCTACAATAGAATCTGGACTTCAAAAATTATCAAATAATATTAAATCCCTCAAAATAAAATTATAATTTGTCGGTGGTAATAAATAAGTTGATGAGTACATGACATTTTATTGGATGATGACTAGTCGAGCTGTTACATACATAACTTTTTCTTAAGTCAAGTCTCGACTAAAAAGGATCCGACAAAGGGATCATATAACATGAGCATTTAACTAGCGTTTGAGACTAGTGTTGCTTTTCTTATTTGTTTCGTTGACGAACCTCATGGTGCGAACATCATCGATCTTGCTCTCTTCTGTTGATAAGAAGGTAGTATAAGTTTTTTCGTTGCATGAGTCATCTGCAAAGCAAACAGAAGTTGCTTGATGCAGGTATTTTCTCTTTTTTTGTGAAAAGGGCACTGTTTGTGCAAAGAGCGAAATTGAAATGAAGTTGTCGGGACTTTTTAGACATATGTTGTTCTCGATATGAGTTAGTATTTTTAAAAACTGATTTTAGGGTGTGGGTGGATACGAATGCACGTGCTAGGAGAACAACATCCACACCCTAACTTGTATTCTTCTTAAACAAGTAGAAAGACGAATAGATTTGCTTTGAGGAAACTACCAATGTACCGTCTTTTGTGTATATACAATATTTATTTTTAACATTCATTTATAATAAGCTACTGCAATAAAATAAGTTGGATGAAATATGCCCTAACAGAATGAAAACATTATAATGAGCACTGAGTACTTCTAATCCGTACATAAGACCTATCAGCTGTTCGTGATAAAATTGATCGATATGCAGTGATGTATGACTCATGAATTTTCTTGTGCTGTGGCATTGGAGTGATACCAGTTTCACCATTCGTGGCCCTAGACAGCTACTGGAAAAAGTCACCGCGATCGATTGTCACTGTTGTTAATTTTTGAAGCGTGAGCAATAGAATCTACTTTCAGTGAAAGGACTACATGGAGTTTCGTCATTACTATCGATCGCAATCAACTCAACCAACATGATGAAAAATCAATGAAAACTTGATTCAGCTGAATCCGAGGCGAGCTCTGACTAGCTTTTGCCCTCATAAAAATGTTTATGGGCACATGTCTTAATTGGATTTAAGATTGTTAAAATGATTTGATAAATCTCTGTTTTTGCTCACAGTTCTTTTGTTCTGTAGACATAAATTCTGCTGAGCCATATACTAGATAAAATCTCTTGATTGGAGATATTTGGTAATTACTGAATGCAACTATATTTGTGCATCTTTTCAGCTTTCTTTACCAATTCTTTTCCAAGCTAAAATTCATGCTCTTTTCGATGACTTGTGGTGATTTTAAACGATTTTTGATTTTTATAAATCTAATATTTCTCCCTTCTACAAAATCATTGTCATAAATATAATGTTCAAATAGCAAGAAGTCCCATTAACTCGCGAAGAAATCAATGTTAATAGAGTCAAAAATATTGTTGGAGGAGTTAAGTCACTTTATCAGTTACGACTTTTGGCAACACTTTATCCACGAAGAATCGCATGATAAATGGTTTGATAGTAGTCCAAGCGAATCGTCGTAAAAGTAAGATTCCAACGATTGAATAGCCAATACCACGAACGATTTGCAAGATACGATCTTGTCGTTTGCGTAGTGCCATACATTGATGATAGGGAATTCGTGTGAATGTCACCATGGTATACAAGGGTATCCACCAACGAGGAAATAATCTATATAGAGCATTATCGATTTTTTTTCGCCAGTGAAATGAACGTAATGTGACGTAATGTGTCATTTCGCGATGGTTGTACATTGATAAGTCAACTATCGCGTGAGTATCACGTACTCGAGTTTCACTAGAGAATTAATAGACCTTAAGAGTAGATCGCTAATGTTAGTGGATACTTACTTGTAAGCAGAAAATGCTTTGGGAAAATCAAAATTATTCTCTTTTAATTTATCAAAGAGAACAAGACAATCTTCGAATGCCGAATTCATTCCTTGAGCATAAAAGGGTGCCATTGAATGAGCAGCATCACCCATAAGAAGCATATCACCATTATGTGTTGCATGTGGTTCACATTTGGTGGAGATCAATGGTTGAGGTTTCGATGAGAAGAATGTCTCGACAATCTCGTTTGCACCGATGAATGATACTGCATCTGGAAAGTATTGACGAAAAAAGTTCATGACATCATCGGCTGTTTTCAATTTTCGAAAAATCGAAATTGGTGAGAACAGTGTTGTCGTGAATGATTTGTCTTGATTTGGTAGAGCGATAAGCATAAATTGATGACGTGGCCAAATATGAAGATAATTGGGTTCCATAACAAACTAAATAAGCAAAACGTTTCTTGATTCTATGTATGATTTCGCTCGAAGTACCTGATCATTTTTAGGTGGAATGCAAAATTCCATGTAATAGGTTTCGAAATATTCTTGTGCGACATTAATTGCATCGAGTTTCATCATTGCTGTTCGTACGGCCGAGTGACACCTAATTAAAGATTAATTGCTCATTCTTTAATAGTCGTCGACTAAGTTCGCTACTTACCCATCGTAGCCGATCACGGCATCGACGCGAAAGTCAACTCGATTGCCTGATGCACTTAATTGAGAGAAGAAAAAGAAATTGACAGGAGAAAATAATCGTCTTAGCAATTTTAAACGTACTCATGAAAACTGGCGATCTTCTGGTCCTCCTCCCAACCAGTAAATTTGTGTTGAAAATGGATGGTAATATTCGGTCGTTTACTGGCTTCTGCAAGAGCAACAAACGAATCTAGTCAAAAATAGAACAGAATATTGTTGGCCTACCATTCAGCAGTAGTTCGTTGAGAGTACGACGATCAATGGACAAGATTTCCTGATTAATCATACAAATGAGAAGTTTTTGGTACTCCTGTTTAGTCACTTACGTGATCTACACGTGTACCATAAGGAATAGGATGTTTGGTACAGTTCAGTTCATGTATCATTCGAGCGCGCATCGCTATACCATTATTGACGATAGTCGTTTCGCAGCCTACATAGGCAAGGGCATCACGACCTCTACGAGAAAGTGCCATATTGATACTACGACCCTTGGCAACCTTTTGCGTTCGAATATCTATGTAAAGAAACCTAAGCTCGAGTCAATAACATGACACAAAAGACGAACCGGAACGTAATTCAAAGAGATGAACTTGAACGCCATGTTTTGCAAAGAAACAAGCACAGAGAGCTCCACCCTAGGATAGAGAATTCAGTATAAAGGAACAAATCGAGAACAAGAATCACTTACAAGTCCGGCACCAACAATAGCCACCACTTTAGTAGATTGAGTGGAAGTTTCTTCTGACATATCTAGAAAGAACAATATACTTATAAATTTGTAACCTCTACAATAAAATTCTAAATAAGATAATGTCCTGAGCGACATCCAAGGCTAGTCATAGCGAGTGTTGGTGAGAAACTCAACTTCCGAATCGTCGAAAACTCTCACATTTTTTACAGCGAAAAGGAATAAGTTTTCTTGCACTCTGTTCGACAACTCCATCCAAAGTAAATGGCCGATCTTCATTGATAGATATCTTCTCTCTCTTAGACTACGACTATCTCAGGTCAATTATGGCGATATTCGTTTCTCTTTCATTGGCACTTTCTGAACTTGTCCCTAGTAAATATTAACTACAAAAACGATGATTTCATGACCTTGACCAAGTCAAGAACATGCAAATCAGAGCAGAATCAAGCAGTCTTATGGGTGTTGCAATTCAGTGAGATAAAAAGTTAAAAGAAAACATAAAAACGCGTCACGATAGCGTAAAAATGTTAATTGTCTACGGCTTTATTTTCGTTAAAATTCCGACATGTTGTGACGAGTTCGGTTTTGAATCAAGTATATCCCTAGCGAGAAGAATCATATTTCATAGACCTGGATTGCTTCGAATATAGTTTATATGAATTTTTATAAGAAGTCAATCTTATTATCATCTTTTAACAAACGAGTGATTAGTTTGATTGTAATCTGTAATAGAGCGTACCAAATTTAAAACTGAAAAGAATTTTCAATTTGATATAGGTTCCTATGGATCAAGTTTAAACTAATAAGTCGTCTGTTAAACGATAGTAACAAGATGAATTTCTTATAAAATTTCATCTAAGTTATACTCGAAGCAACCCAAATCTATGGGCTATGATATTCCTCTCTAGGAATACACTTTATTCAAAAATTGAACATTAGGTAACATGTAGATATATACGATAAAAATTATTCTATCATTAATAGCTATTGGCTTCTTTCTCATCTCTGCTGACATGACCAGAAAAGCTAAAAAAGGAGAATTATATTTTGTTCTATGCAATAAATAGAAAAACAAAAGAGTGATATTCAATTAACGTTCGATCGCTTTATATTGTGTATGCCAGAGTAAAGCATTTCGATGAAAATTACTATATGAAAAACAAAATGCAATAAAAATTAAAAAACTATAAATAAACTTGAAAAGATTACAAAGACAGAATCGGTTGCTACTATGAGTGAAAGACAAAAATGACATTTTCATACAAAGAATAGATGATTGAATGAACAGTTCATCCAAACGAATGAGAAAGTAAAAAGTACTTGATATACTGGATTATTCTAAACAGATAGCGGCTCATGATACTTTAAAGTACATGGCCAACTGAGATCGGACGAATAAAATGCATAAAAAGCGCGTTGTTTTTTTTTATTTCAATGTCTCCATCATAAAACTCATGGTTTTATGCGCTTCTCTGATAGAGAAATGTTATCTTGAGTATGTTGTAAACCTGTACTACAACTCACTACAAAAAAGAAAAACGTTAGTAGATTATGTAATTGGTTGAAAATATTAAGTAACATAAAGTATGCGAAATTAACTGCACAAAAACAGGAGAGAAAGAATGAAATGATATATTCTTAGTTTTGATGCATACCTATTTATTCATATAGTCTGAACGGATTCAGCAAATGCAGGGAAAAGCGTAAAGATTTTTTCATCATCACGATCAGGGCTGCCTAGTCTCCTGATTTCTCCTGGTTTTTAAGGGTTTCATTACTCTTAATTTTCGCGATATGTTGAATTCAAAAAAACATCTATCACACTATTTCATAGATACAACAATCGATAAGAAAACACGTTGTTTCTGCTTGAGTTCAAGAAAATTAAGATGATCAATTTCATAAATAAATCCTATGGCAAAGACTTGTGTCACTGTGAATAAAAAGANATTTTAAAAAAACGATCTTTATCAACCGTCAATTAATTCTGGTAGTCTTGGTACTTGTTCACTTCGAAAACGATTCAACACGAGTGAATCAGGAGATAATAATTTCTATGGTTGAAATTGTTCACTTTTCCTATAAAATAACCAAGTTTTGTCCTTTTTCTTTTTATAAAATAATCATCTATTGATTGATCAAAAAATTTATCAGCTAAATGCAACTGTGGAGCATTTCCATGAAGAAATACTTTATCATCCAAAGATTTGTGTTGTAATGAACGGTTATTCTGAATATGATCTTTTAATATCGATGCTGCTGATTCACAAATAGCTTTACTTCTAATTTTTAATATCATTAATGAAGAAAATCATTTATTCCTTCCGATAGAGCTGTATTAGTGTAAAATATTTTCATCACTTTGGATGTCAATATTTTCCCGTTAGTTGTCCAAACACTAAACGTATCTGTATCTTGTATTTCATTTTAGCAACGTTGTTTCCACTCTAAATATTGATCTTGAATAACAGGCGCATTTATTAGTTTCATTGAATTTGATACAGTAAAATCAATTAGTTTTTGCAATTCATTTTTACCATAATCAACAATTGTTTGTGTCTTATCCAATACTACTTGCTGATATAAAAATGCAGCATCTAAACAGTTTTTCATTAATACAAAAATCTCTGGAATATCTTCAAATCGTTTAGCAATTGATTGTGATAGATGTCGGCATAACTCTATTAGCGTTTGTCGTATATGTTTAGTTGGATCTTCTAAATCGTAATCACCACCTCTTCTAGTGATTGAAAGTTGCTGAAATTCGCATTTTAATAAATCATGATAATATTGTTCTATTAAAGTTGTTGATTGTTTTTTTGTTGTGCTTTTGTTTCGTCATACTTATCTTCATCAGCATCAAAATCATCAGCAGCTATTGAATGAACTGATTTATCTAAATCAAATTCTAGAATAGATAAAATACTTGGCTATAGGTAATATTCACGATAAAATACAATAAATTACTTTTCAAATTTTCAACATCTTGTGTTGATTTAAAATTCAAAGTTTTCAATAATTCTCCATATTTAGTTAATCGTTCTTGTAAATATTCAATTGTGAATAATCATATTCCCATGGATATTTATTTACCTGTTGCACCGATAATAATGCTTCTACAAGTATACTGTATATGTCATACAAACCGATAAGTGTACAAACAAAATCAAAGGATTTTATTTGTCCCCACTAAAAATAAAAGGTAATTTTAGAAACAAAAGTATTTCGATATCATTTACCGCTACACTATCAACATTTTTATCACCTGGTTTTTGTTGAGCATCAAGTTTTTGTCTCGTTCTTGTACTAATATCACCATGATATAATGCCATGTTTGCATTATCTTTTTCTTGTAAAACATATAAAGGTTTCCAATTTCTCAATATTGTTTCATAAACACGTAACTAAGAACTGACGAAACGAGTTACGTGAAATTGTTTAGATTGTAAAATATCTTCTTGTACCTCTTCTGCTATTTGAATAAGGAATTCATACTGTTTACCATACGAATATTTTTTCATCACTTCAGCACAATTTTTAATGATCATTTGTAACCAATTGATTTTTTTTTTGATTTTGTGTATCACTAATTGCCAATTCCAATAAATGAGCAACATCCCATCAAATTGTTAACCAATTCTGTTGAATCTCTATATTATTACATAAATGCTCATTTATGTTCATATGAATATAGGCACCATCGGCAACACCACCAGTTAATTTATCCTGTAACATAGATTTAGTTAAACCAAACGATACTAATACATTAACACAATTAGCAGCTAGTTCTTCACCTGATAATTCGGTTTTACATAAAGATGATTTTTAAATAAATAGGTGTTAATTGTCCATCAATCATTATGACAATCATTGTCCCTTGCAAAGACCTTTTTAACAATGTTACTTTATCAAATGTAATACCAATTGGTCGTTGTTATCGTGTAATTGCGGATCGACTGATTTTAAATATTCCATAACTCTTTGTTTCATAGATGTAGCCATAGAGCTTCGAAGTTCTTGAAAAAATCATCGACTATGTCTAGAAGTACAAAAATGTCGACCAAGTAATATAAATTTGTTTACAATAAACTTTTTTATTACCTATAAGTTCCAATAGAAGCACCACATAGATCTAATAAATTCAATGTGTGCACAAATTTAAGACCATCTAAACTATTTTGAATGCAAAATAACGCTGCTCTACCAATATTGAACCCAGCTTTTCAATTTTTTTAATAAAATCATGTAATTCTTGTTTGACTGGTTCGTCTTCTTTAACACACCACATATGAAGTCGATTTTCATAATGTAATTTTAAATTTCTCGTCAAACTTTTGAGTCCTTGGGATTGAATTTGATGCGGATCTTGTTCAACATACTCAAATATATCAAATGAGGATTTAATCGTACTGAGCAGATGTTTTGATGGTTGTTTTTTAAATTTAAAACAAGGTATACATGTGATGGTATCCAACTGACTATTTATTTCTAAATGTTTTAGCATATATAAGTCATTAGAACATCTGATATTTTTAAACATTTGTTCTAAATTATTTAATTCATAAAAGTATTTTAATAATTTAACATTTGTGTTTTCTNAGTCGTTTTCGGAGTCGCCGTCAGAGTCAATTAATTCTTTTGCTGAAAATTTAGTTTTAGCATAAGAAATTTTTTTACTTGTAGGTTTTGTTCTCCGATATTTAATGTATAAAATGACGCATTTTGAAAATTCCAATATGTTGTCAAGGTCAATGATCATGAAAAGAAGTCGAAGTAAAATTCAGCTCCGATTTTTTTCGACTCCGACTTTCTTTCAGGGTCATTGACCTTGATAACATATCATTGGAATTTTCAAAATGCGTCAGTTTATACATTAAATATCGGAGAGCAAAATCTGCAAGTCAAAAAATTTCTTATGCTAAAACTAAATTTTCAGCAAAAGAATTAATTGACTCTGACGGCGACTCCGAAAACGACTCCGTGCAAGTCTCTAACCCACATCCACACCCACAAAACTGTTTTATCTTCGCTCAAGCTCATCCAAAAATATCTTGTGAGTCTCAAGGGTCTGAGCTGTTTCTTGAACGAGTACGATAGATGTCTACAAACTGTCAAGAAAGGCTACACTATAACTGTACTTCTCAAACGAGAGATCAAATAACTTGAATAGAATATGTCCAGTCGTCTGAACACGTCTTTCACTGTCTAGGAGTCCCATTAAATCAATCAGGCACTTTGAGTGATCGATGGAATAGCAGTGGTGATGCGGTTTTTTATTACTTGCTATCTGGATGTGTGAGTGTTTATGGAGTCTACAGCCACATATTATACTCACATCCGTGTTTCTGTTTTTCTTTGAATTCTGTGTATATGTTTCTCATATGTGACAACAGTGGTAAAAGGGTGAACATGAGAAGTGCTTCAACCCGTATTATCTCTAATTACGTCGCTCTTTTTAATTTCTTGGTTCTTATACATTATTCATTTGACGTTTTGTCGATATTCATGGTTTAACATTGTTTGCAAGCTTTGTCTGCTATTTCTCTAAACAAGTTTTATGTAATTTAAGATACTTCAAGAGGCGTAGTGAAATTTTATCCTAAAAATGAAAGCGTGCTCAGTAAGTTCGATTACAATCGGACAAATCATGCAACGATAAATATAGAAACATGCAGTGTCGCTAAATTCGATACGAACTTATACGGTATTACTTCGATGTAAGCAAAATTTCATTTATTCAGATAATAGTATCCGATTTGATAGCAGATATATGCACGTCAATATATTGATTGATCATGAAGTTTTCAATCATTTAACATATATGTACAAATGATATTCATGAATTGTATCTAGAACAGAAAAGATCTTCGAGAACGAAAGTTTCGGGCGCACAAATTATAATTGGGAACAGAAAGAACATGATGGCTATTGGATATGCGTAGAAATCGAAGATGTTGCAAGCAAACGAAGACGGACGATCAAAAAATGATGATATGAAAACAGAACATCTGTGACTTTACTAGAGCATTCATTTACATATTTATACGAATCATGAAAATCTTCTGAATAAAAATCAACAATTATGTCAAAGAAGTTTATAAACACGTTCGAATGCAACAGAATAAATCAAAACTGTCATTTTGAATGAACAAGAAATGTTCCTCTTAACGGCATATCTATGGATGCGGTACAACATAGACATATTATAAATAGAAATTAGTGTGGAAAAAAAAGTGATACTCATTGTTATACACTGACCTATATCCTTACAATTGTTCATCGGAGACTTATTCAAACTCAATCCAAACAAATGAAACTATTATTTCACATATGAAACAAGTGTTTATCTGCTGAAAGGTGACTTTGTTCGAAGGTGTCTCAATTTATGGATTCATGAATTTTCTTTCTGTTTTCAATGAAAGATGTAGATAGCAATTGAAAAATAAACAATCAATGTACGCTTCATAAGACTGATTCATGGCAGATCATGCTTTCACTTCAATCAAACATGATCGGTGTATAAAGTATTTTTCACCAGGTACAACGTTTGATAAGTATCCAGTCATGTGCGACTTTCTATGTTTCTTCTGAGCCGATTGCATCTTTGTACCACACTCTACTGTACACATTGAATAAGTAAACTCGTCTTTTTTAATAATTATAATATACAAAGAAAACATATCGTATTCAATGTTATGAGACCAGTTCAAGATTGTTCGACATTGAAGATAGCCGAACCGGTTGGAGTAGATTTTCGCTTGAGTTTTGCCGTTCGTAAAATGCCAACGAAAGTAGTTTGATGAGGATCATACTTCACTGCAAATGCCATACGATTCTCTCTATCTTTTCGAAACATTGCTCGACGTTTTTTCCATGGTACCAGACACATCCAAATCAATATTCCAAATTGATAGGCAAAAAACAGAATAGTGCACACTACTAATCCCCAACGATCAATAACAATTATGCTATCTACACTGATTGTTGTTGTCGAATTAGGCGTACTTGTCGATATATAATAGTTCACGTAGCCAATAACACCATGATCTACAAGAGAAAATGAATATAAGCTTCTATCCGAGAAGATAAGACAAAAAGCACGATTTCACAAACAGATATTTAGTAGACAAAGTGAGAAAATGCTGCCAATTGCATATACATCAACTGCTGTGAGATAGGAGATGGTTCTAAATGAATGAAATAACTATGTACATAAAACAAGAATTCAGAATAAAAGATATAGATGCCTACGGTAGTGCTTTATTACAAAGCCAACGAAATGTTATTGATGTGAGTAAAAGCGTGCTGGCTATTTTTACACGTTCACTAATACTAAAATAATAAGTCAAAGATTTGGATGTGGGTGTGGGTGTGAGTATGATATGCGATTCATTTACACCCACATCCACAGCCACACCCACCCACACCCACACATCCACCCACACCCACATCCACAGCCACATCCACCCACACCCACACATCCATCCACACCCACACCCCACCCACACACACCCACACCACACCCACACTCACCCCACACCCACACCCTAGTTTTAGCATAGGAACGTTTTTGACTTGCAGGTTTTGTTCTCTATTATTTAATGTATAAACTGATGAATTTTGGAGATTCCAACGATATCTTATCAAGGTCTATGAACATGAAAGAAAGTTGGAGTCAGATTTGACTCCGTTTGTTTTTCGACTCCAACTTTCTTTCATGTTCATAGACCCTGATAAGATATCGTTGAAATCTCCAAAATTCGTCAGTTTACATTGCACATTCTTACTTTAATCACATCTTCACACTGATTGATATGATTTACATACACATAGAGTACCGTGGGTGAAGTCGCTGTAATTTAAGTGAAGTTGTTTTCAGGTTGAGAAAATATTGCGTTTTTTTTAGCTATTCAATATTTCATCTAAAATACATACAATTGAGTATCTTATCTTTGGAATTTTATTGGTGTATTTTAACAACCGCTGACACCATCACAATGCATGCAGTCTTTATTTCATAATTTCTTGTCAATCAGATCGATATTTAGTATGCCGACAGAGCAAAAAAAGTATAGTGTTTTAAGCGAATCAATATAAAATGCACTACACATGGCGATCCCTTAGAAAATTAAATAGGCCGAGATTTTGACTGATATACTGTAAGATACAGAAAAAAATTCTCTATCGAACTGTGTTCTTAATTTTTTTTAAAGTAATTAGAACCCAAAAATTATCAATAGAATCTGAGGAAGTATTATTATTCATATTCTTATTAGATGTTTGGGTCCAACTTACTATTGGTCTAATTAATTAGTAATTTTCTCGAGAAAAA